AGGCCCTGGAGCCCAGCCAGGCTATGAAGCACAGCATGAAGGGCCTCTCTGGCTCCCAGCCTGCCCCGACTCCTTCCTCATGGCCACTTGGGGACCTTGGTCTCCTTATCACCCCACTGGGCCTGATACTAGCTGACCCTGCTGGAGGCTGAGGACAGCTCAGCCCAGGGCCTCCCTGGTACAGAGGAGCGTCACCCTGTGTGGGCTGCAGCTGGCACCACTTGCAAGACAGGGAAACACTGTCAGTCCAGCGGGTAGGAGGCTGGCCCCTGGGGTAGGGAGCAGCGCGGGCCCTCAGCCAAGCAGAGCTGCAGCTGTGTGAGAGGGTGCGTGCCCCAAGAGTGAAGCCGGGTGTGCTGGGCAGACCACGGTCGGTGGTTCCCAAACCCACAGCCGCCCGAAGCCCCTGCACCCATGGGACCAGCGGCATTGAGCTCAGGGCTTAGGTCATCCAGCCCCCAGGACCAGAGTCCCAGGAGGGCAGGTGGCCTGGGGCCTCACTCCTGCTCCCCAAGCCCCACCCAGGCACCTTGCTGCCCTGGGGGCTCAGTGTGAGGGTCCCCGCCCACCGCCAGGAGCTGGCTGTCAGCTGCGGTGCAGAACCACCTCGATGCCCGCCACAGGGGACAGCAGAGGTAAGGCAGGTTACAGGGCACCGCTAGACATCTCCTGAGGGACGGTTCTGACCCTGGTGAACCTGGGTGTGGGACAGCACTGGACACCAGGGTAGGTTGGCCCCCACTGGCTCTGCATGGTGAGCCAGCCCTGGCTTCCTGTCTCACTGTCTCCAGTGACCATGCTTCCCTGGTAGTGGGGCACTATGAGCAAGAGGGACCCGGCATCAGAGGAGAGCACACGGGGGCAGGAACTCCCAGCCCTGGCTGAACTGCCAGCTGCCCCCTCCCCAGACCTCCCTGGCCTTCCAACCAACCATCTAGACTGGGCCCCCCTGCCCGGAGCAGCCTCACCACAGACGAGAGGCACTTACATGGCCAGACCCACCCCCGATCCCAGCTCTATGTACCTCCGTGCCCCTTGCCCCTTGCCCCAAGCAGTCCTCATGCCCAGGAGGGTGGCCGGCCTGCCCCAGCGGCCAGCTGAGAAAGGAAGATCCAGCTGCAAGCTGATGGGCCAGCCCCTCAGGCACGGCCCCCAGCACCTGGGGTCCCACTGGGAAGCCCCAAGGGGTTCTGGGGAATCAGCGCCTGCTCTGTCCTCAGGAAGGAGGGCTTAGGCCAGGCTTTAGGGTACAAAGTATGTGGGGTATTGGGGGCAGGGACACTGAGAAGTCCATAACTCTGAAGCAAGTGGGGTCAAACCTCATTCTTCGGGACAGGTGGCTTACAGTTCAGGGGAAGGGTGCAGGGGGCCAAGTCTGCAAGGGCCTGGTTCTCCCAAGGATAAGGAGTCCTGGCCACGGGGCAGGTGCCCCCTCCAGGGCTGAAAGTGACCCAACCCTCACTGTGTGCCTGGCCTGGGTCCTGGGGTGCCAGGGCCAGAGCGAGCACCGCGGGCTTCTCCCCCTCCCCTATCCAGGGCCTTCTCCAAACACCAGGCCAGTGCAAAGGTGACTGTCTGCCCCTCCCACCAGCACCTGGACTCTAAGTCTTATTGATTCTAGGACCCAGGCATGGGGGCAGATTCATGGGGCAGGCGGTGTATTTTTTGGGTCCACCTCTGTCTGGCCTTTGATGCAGTGAGAGATAGGGACTGGAGCCGAGCTGCGTATGGGGTAGGGGGCCACAGCAGAGCCAGGGGCCCAGGCTCCCCACCTCTTGCACCAGCACTGCACCCTTTGAGGCCCAGACACCTTCCCTGGGGGCCAGCCCTCCCCAGGGACACAGCACAGACATCCTCTTCTCCGCCCGGCTCACCGCACCTGCAGTTTCCCCAAAGCTCAGCAGCCAGAGTCCCAATGGCGTCAAGGGGAGTCCACTTGCCCACCTGTCGAAATGGGCATAGGAAATCCCCACCCCATCCAGAGCCCACCAGGGCCACATCCCCGCCCCAGGAAGGAGGCTGCAGAACCACTAAGCGACAGGCAGTCAGGCGCTGTCTGGAAGCGAGTTAAATGCCAGGTAGCAAGCCTCCCAGCTGACCCCAACTCTGGAAAGCCATGACTGCATCAAGGTGGAGGGGCCGCGAGCCCCAGATGAGGACACTGCTCCTCTCCCTGCAAGGACCAGTGAGCTCGGTAGGGCTCCCTGGCCAGCCCCGGGAGCCCACTCTCATAACCACTTCAAGGAGGAGGACACTGGGGCTCTTGCAGGCCAGCACCTGCCCCAGGTCGCCAGCTCCAGTCGGGTGAACAGGAATGAGGGCCTCTGCCCTTCCTCATCTGCCCCAGCAACAGGCATCTGGAGTCCCAGCCTCCGCTGCCAGGAAGCCCTCTGTCCCACCCCAAGGGGCAGGATCTCCACACTGCTTGGCAGGATGTCTGCACTGCCTTCTCAGCTCAGCCTGGCTGTGCTGTCCGGCCTCACAGTCTGATGGCCTCACAGTCTGATGGCCACTTGGTCAGGGTGTCCCAAAGCAGGCTCTGGTCGGGCATGTGAGTGCCGGAGCTGGGCCCCTGTCGCACATGAGGGGAGCAGGCAGAGTGACCTGACCCCTTTCCAGGGAAGCATGTGGGCTGCCTGAGGCCTGCTCCCACGTGGGAGCCTTTTGACTCTCAAAAAAGAAACTTTAAAAAGTGCCCCAATACAGATATCGTTGTCAACCTCCTCTCCCAGCTCCCACTGTCAACACCCACTGCTGTCCCATGGTCAGGTGGCTGGGGACCCACAGCCCTCCCTCACCCACTGTCCTCTGAGCTCTGCAGGGCGCCTAGGCACTGCCCACACCAGCCAAGGGGAGCAGTCTCCCCTGCCCACAGCCATGCCCAGCACCCATTTCTTGAGCTCAGCCCCTGCAAGCGTTAACTAATCCACCAACCCCACCAAACAGGCCCCTGCTTTAGAGGGGATGATGCCAAGCCAGGGCCAGAGCGGTGGGACCCCACCCAGGTCCAACAGCACAGCACCAGGCTCTCAGCCAGGCAAAGCAGAGAGGGGCTCCACCAGCGTGATGCCCCCAAGTCCCACCTTGCCCTGCTCTGCATCCCCTGACCACAGGGGGTGTCCCAGCATGGGGGGGTGGGGCCATGGTGACTGGACAAACCCCATTCTCGATGCACACAGCTGGGCAGGCCCCAGGAGTGGGAAGAGGCAGCTACACTTCCTCAAGCCCCAGCAGAGTGGCCCTGGGGGGATGCGCCAGGTCTCCACCCCTGCTGCCTGGGAAATTACCAGACTCACCAAACTGGGCTGGGGGATGAGGGGTGCTGCCCTGGAGCCCTCCCAGGAGGGGCAGGTCAGGGGGCCTTACCAGGCACTGCCCCAGCCCAGGGGGAAGAACCACTCCGGGAGATGCCCCTTCCCCCCCAACCACCTCCCTGCCAGGGTCCTCTCCCCCACATACGGGCTCTGCTTGTAGGGGATGGACTCAGGGACCAGGCTGAGGGACATCGAGGTGCCCTGCTGACCCTACTTGTCCAGGCCAGGGCAAATGCTAAGTCAACGCAGATGCCACCCCTTCAGCAAAGGCCCAGTGACTGGTGCAGCCAAGCCTGGCACATCCCCAGTAGCCTCACTGCTCCTGGCCGGGGTCAGAGGTCGATGGCTGCAGGGGCTCCCAATGGTCCCCCCTCAGGTAGGATGTGACATCACACACACACACGCCCTCCTGCTAGAGTTCAGTCTGTCCTCCCTGTTCTGAGAACCACCATGGGCTCCTCGCCTAGGCAGATGGGAAATGTAAGTCCCCACTCCCACACACTTGCTCCTGGGGTCATTTCGTAAGTTTGCCCTCCCTGCGGTGAACTTGAGAAATATATCTCTCCCAGACGTGGGAGCGGCAGGGCGGGGAGGCACGGCATGGAGGGGCCGGGAGGAGCTCCCAGGGGCTTGGCCAAGGAGAGGCAACGCACCCATTCTAGGTCCCTCGGGCCAAACAGCGATCTCCACTCCCTCCCCATTTCCCACGCGCAGGAAACTGGAACGAAACCAAAAGCTTCAGCAGTCACTGGCCAGAAGTTAAGGCTGAGGTCAGGAAAATGCAACTCTCAGGATGCAGCCCCGATACCCCGGCGGACCCTCCTGCACCCCAAATGACTATCCAGTGTGCACCTCCACCCAAACTGGGTGCCCAAGCCCAGCGGACACGAATCTGGGCACAGGTCTCGGAGCTCAGAGACGCCCGGCCCTTTCAGAATCCCTGCCCTGTGGCAATTCAGAACGGCGCCCCAGCCCCACACGCCTCAAGCCCTCTCCCCAGCCCCCGAGAGGCCGGACTGGACCCTCTGGGTGAGGAGTGGAGGCGACTGTGCCACAAACTGGGATCACCACGGTACGGGCGTCCCAGCACGCCGGCCCCAGTGCGTTTCCCGTCTGCGCCCCGCCGGAGTCCGGATCCCCAGGACCACCCCAGGATGGCGAAAGCAGACTGGGGCGTGGAGGGCTGGGCCACGAGTGGAGTGGACGGTCCCCAAGACTTCACAGCGCGCGCCCCCGACCCGGCCGCCCATCCAGGGGCGGTGGCCCGGATGAGCTCATGGGGGCGGGACGACGGGAGCCCCACCCCCGGGCCCCTCGGTCCCGGCGAAGCAGGGTGGTCCAGGCAAGAGCGGCCGGGAGCGGAGCGGCAGCCGGTCACCGGCTCCGAACCCCAAACGCCGCGGTCCCCAGTAGCAGCGAAAAGGGGGCCGCGCGCCCCCCCGCCCGGTCGCGGAGCACTGGGCCCCGACGCGAAGAGGCCCCGACCCGTGGTCGAAGCCACACCCCGCCGTGGAGGGGCGCGGCGGCCCTAGATCACCCCACGGCCCCGACCTGCCGGTCGAGACCCCCGCCCGCTCCGGGCGCCCACAGGTGGCCCCCAACTCGGCGGAGGCCGCGCGCCCCTGGCGGGGCCTAGCGGGGCGCGCGGCCTGCGGGCTCGGACCCCCGCTCCCGGCCGGCGCTCACCCAGAAGACGAAATTGAAGACGAAGAGCAGGTATTTGATGCACTTGGTGCAGCCCTCCACCCCCATGGCGGCGCGGGCGCGGGCGCGGGGTGCGGGGACGACGGGCGCGGGAGGCCTGGCCGGGGCGCGCCGGGGAGGTCGCTGCCGCTGCGCGCTCGCTCTCTGGCCGGGCGCGCGCCTCCGTGTGCCTCTTATAGGATGCCGCGCCGCCCCGCCCCGCCCGCAGGCCCCGCCCCGCCCCGCAGCCTGAGGGTCGGCCCACCGCAGCCCTCACACCTCGCGAGCGCTCCCCGTGCGCGCCCTTTCCTGGCCGCGCTCCGAGACACCGAGCCTAGGCGTGCCGCCGGGGCACCCGGGGAAGAGCTTCTCCCTCCCTTCTTTAGGCGCCTTGGACAATCCAAGAAGGCTCCCAGGAGGAGGAGCGCCAGCTTTGACTACTTCAGGCTAGCGCCCAGGGACAGGAACCTGGGTGGGTGATGAGAGTAGGGGCGCTGACATCACGATCTGGGGCGCGATTCTAGGCAGCCGAGCCCGTGTCCCGTGGAAAGGGGCAACTGCTGACGGTTGTTAGTGGAGCCTATGTTTGGAAAGGTCACTGAGTGGGCGTCCCTAGAGCAGTGTTAAGAGTCAAGGAGACCTTTAGGAGGGCCTCCACATGTTGTGTGTGTCATGCACACCCGGGTGGTACCGGGGGCGGGGCAGCAGTCCCCCTTCACCTGTCTTCCCGGAAGGTGTGAGAGCCAGGCCCCCTGCCCTCGCCGCCTGGGCTAACACAGAAATGGAGAAGGGACGCATTGAGGCAGGGGTGCTTTCTCCCCAGATGACAGAGCAAATCTGCGGCAAGGTGACAGGCACATGAAGAGATGGAACTGTCCTGTACCTGTGGGACCCTGGCAGAGGCTACGTCTGACCCCCTGAGACATGGCCGGCACCCAGGGTGGAGCGCTGCATTCTTTGCTGTGGTTCATCACAGTTAACACTGGGATGGCCAGTGGGTCGGGGCACCACATTAGACAGACGGCCCTGTGGGATTCATCTGTACACTACCCGTGTTCTTGGTGGTTAATTTTAAAATTTGCTTGGGCTTCTCGCTTGTGTAAAAGCCACAAGTGCACATTTATACCTAGTATGTTTGTGCAGGTGAAGTGCCCTTGTAATAGAAGTAACTTAAGCCTTCACTTGGGGATCTGCCAGGATTCCTTTTGTTGAAAAGGCGCAGAACAGGCTCCGGGGTGAGGAAATGCTTGTCCAAATATCCTGGGTGCCCAGCTCTCCCATCTGCTCCTGCTGTCCACTGTGATAGGGAGACATTTCCTGCCAAAGGTGCGGCCTGAGTCCTCAGAGACGGGCCTTCCCCGGGCCCTCTGGGAAGGGGAGCAGAGGGGGGCATTGAGCCCACCTGCAGGGGTCCAGGGCAGGGGCGTGCAGTCCTCAGAAGCAGGTCGCAACCAGCCAGCTCATGCTGTCCTTTCAATCACTCATCAGAGCTTTAGTGGGGCCCCTGTGTACCAAGCACTATTCCAGGCACTGGTGGAAGGGAGTGGGCCAGCAGGACCCATTGCCTTCAGGACCTCAGGCCCTGGTGAGGGTAACAGATCACACCCCAGGGTGATCGTCAGTGCCGGGAAGGGAGGGAATTCCTGGGATGTTTGCGTGTTGGAGTGGGGTGCTGGGAGGAGTCAAGGATGGCCCTTAGGGGAGGAGCTTTCCAGGCAGAGGGGTCGAGGCAGAAGAACAGGAAGTGAGTGGGATGGGAAGTAGGGGATGGGGAGGAAGCCTAGACAAGAAGCTGGGGGCAGGGTTGTGTGTGTTGGGGGGAGCTACCAAAGGCAGTGATGACAGGACAGTGTAATGTCGGGGGAGGTTGACCCACTGGGCATGTCCTGGAAGGGCTCCTGTTGTCTGCTGGAGGGCAGAGCTTCTGTGCTGGCTCCAGGATCGTGGTAACCGCCCAGATGGGCTACATTAGAAAACGGAGGGGAAGGGACTTGCCCCCCATGCCTGGGATAGCGACCCCTTCCCTGCCACAGGCTGACTGTTCCAAGGGCAGGAGTGGTTGATGGTATGACAGGGACAGAACTGCTGCATAAGGACAGCAGGCCTTTGCTACCCAGCCAGGTTTGGCATAGAGTCCTCCCCTCCATGTGACTTAGGGCGGGTTCCTCAGTGTCCCTGTCTGTGGTGGTGAAGTGCGAGGATACGCACAAGGACTGTGTAAGATAAATTCCAGCCGAAATAAGCAGGCGAAGAGAGACAACAAAGGGCCCGGTAATGTATTTGAACGTAAATTCCCGGGTGATGTTCCGCGGTCTGGCTATCACAGGCCCGGGAACTTACACTCAGCAGGACAGGCAGCGAGTTTTTAAAGAACGTAGGGGGAGGCAGAGCTTAGATTTACAGCAGGGAGAGGATTGGCTAGCTTAAGGCACATTTTTCAGGTTGGGAGGGGGCAGCAGCCAGGAACTTTGGCAGGTCATCAGTGTCTGTGTGCTCACCCCTCTCCCCAGTGCCTTCAACCTTACAAACTGGAGCAGGGCCCAGCCCTTGGGGGATAGGAGACCCCTGCCTCCTTCAGCTTGTCAGCTGAGAGGCTTCTCTGCCAGGCACAGCTCCAGGGGCTGGTGACTTGTGCCTTTATGGAGGACACTGTGCTGTGGGGGAGCCACTGAACCCCACCCCTGTGCTTTGCTTTTCTGTGGAAATAAGCAGAGACCCCTCCCCCAAATGAAAGGAACAGGCTATTTATGAAGGGCATGGCCTTCAAAGTCAGCCACCACTGCTGCATCTGAGGGATACTCAAAGGCAGGCCCAGAGGGGGACAGGTTTGTAGTTAAAAAAGGGATTCTTACTCTCTGAAAGGCAATCAGTGTACCTACCGAACCATATTAACAGGCGGAAGGACAGACACCAAACGGTAATCTCAACAGATGCATAAGGAATATTCGACAAACCCAGCCCGCTTTCCTGATGCAAACACTGAACACACTTGGACTTCCTCAATCTGATGGGGGCATCCCTGGAGCCCCCCGCCATGGACATCACAACTAAGGGCAAAAAGCTGTGAGCGGCGCCCCAGAGACCGGGGGCAGGGGACGGACAGTGGTTCCTGCCACTTGTTCAACATCGTCCTGGGGCTTCTGGCCAGGACAGTTAGGCAAGAAGACATAAATAGCATCTAGATTGGAAAGGAAGGCACGCAAGCTATCTATGTGCAGGTGTGAGATTGTGCCTCGAAAAGAAAGCTACAAGAAAACGGCTAAAACTGATAAACGCGTTCAGCGGTTGGCAGGGTGCAAGATCAATATCCAAAATCAGTTTTATTTCTGTACACTAACAAGGACCAATCCAAAAAATGGAGCTGAGAAGACAATCCCATTTGTAATAGTGGTGACAGAACAAAATCCCGAGGGCTACATTCAGCAAAGAAGCATAAGACTTTACACAGAAAACTACAAAACACTGTCAAAAGGCACTAAAGGAGAGTAAGTGGGGAGACCCCCGGTGTTCCCACATCAAAAGACTTAATACTGTTGTGATGTCAGTTATGATCCCTGAATTGACCTACAGCTTTGATGCAGTTCGTGTCACGATCCTGGTAAGCTTTTTTTACAAGTTCACCCCCAGATTTTTACAGGAACAGGGCCCCAGAATTGCTGAAACTATCTTACAATCTTAAAAAAGAAGAACAAAGTTGTCAGATTCACACTTCCCCATTCAAACTAACTATAAAGTTACAGGGATCAAGACAGTGTGTCACTGGTGTAAGGACAGACACACAGATCAACGGAATAGAATTGAGGGTTCAGAAAAAGTCCTCACATGCAGGGTCATGGAAGCCAAGACCATTCAGTGAGGGACAGAACAGTCTTTTCAACAAATGGTGTTGGGACAACTGGATACCCACCTGCCAAAGAACACAGCAGGGCCCCTACCTCACGCTACTCACAAAAATTAACTCAAAATGGATCGTAGACCTCAAAACAAGTGCTGAAGCTATACAACTCTTAGGGAAAAACGTGCAAGCAGATCTTCGACCTTGCATTAGACATCAGTTTCTTATATTTGACACCAAAAACATAAGCAAAACAGGAAGAAATTGGCAAGTTGGACTTGGTCAAAATTTAAAACTTGACTGTGTCAAAGGGTTGCATCAAGAAAGTAGAAGGACAGCCTGGAAAATGTTTGTAAATCCTGTACCTGATAACAGTATCTGACATCTAGCACATGCAAAGAACTGTTAACAACGAGAAGACAACCCAGCTTAAAAAACGGGCACAAGATATGAATATACATGTTTTCAGAGAAGATAGATTGTGTAGGTAATAGGCAATAAGCACATGGAGGACGCTCAGCGTCACGAACCTCCGGGCACAGTGAGTCCAAACCACGGTGAGACATCCCTCCCCGCGCGGCTGCCATAAGGATGCCTCATAAGGATGTGGCAGGCGGCCACAACGTTGGTGAGGATGTGAAGAGACCGGCCTCTCCCGCTCCGCTGGCCGGGCTGTGAAGCAGCGTAGCCACTTCAGAAAACTATTTGGCAGGCCCTCAAAATGCTCAGCGTGGAGGAACCGTGTGACCCCACAGTCCCTCACAGGCATAGTTCCAAAGGACGTGAAGGCGTATGGCCACACGAAAATGTGCATGGATGTTCATGGCTCCATGGAGGACCCCTCTGGTCAGTTAGACTTGGGGTGGTGACAGGAGCCAGTGAGGGACTAAGAGGTGGTGGGACCCAGTGTGCTGGGCAGGGACAGGCCCGAGGGCTTTGCCCAACCCTTGCAGATTTGAGAGGACTTCCTGGCCTAGGGGATAGCAGGAACCTGGGGGCTCATGGAGTGGGGTGGGGGCTGTGAGTTAGGTTGAGGTGGATGGGGGTCTTTCATGCTGTGATCTGAGCTGAATGAGATGTCCTGGGGCTCCCGGCCCTGTGGATCACTGACTTGGGGAGCCCCAGGACCCTCTGACCTCCCCACACTCCAGCCACAGGGTTCGTAGAGGCTCGGGGGCAGCATGGATAACAAGGCTCCTGCTTCTCAGAATTGCTAGGCCCACCCTGGGCCATGTCCACTCTGGCCTGGCCTTTTTGCCCAGGGTCGCCCTGTTCTGACTGGCTCCAACCCCTCCTGCCCCCTACCCCCAATAGCACCATCCCCCAAGGGGGCCACAAGGCTTTC